ATCCCATCCCAACATCCCCATCCCACCATCCCACCCCAGTGTCCCCACCCAGCTCCTACCTGCCGCGAGGATGGAGGCGAGGCTGAAGAACATGCCCATGGCCATCTGCTTGAGCGCCGAGGGCAGCAGCCCCCTCCTGGCTAGGAAGGGGTCGATGAGGTGGTCCTTCAGGGGCACTAAGACCAGCAAGACCACCACGTTGGCCAGGAGCAGCCAAGCATCCGGGAACTGCAGGGGACAAAGGCAGCTCAAGCCCCAGCCCTCACCAAGGAGCTCAGCATCCCATGGGATGTTCCCACCCCAGGTCTCATCCAACTGGTCCACGGGGCCACCAGCCCCATCCCTCACCGTGTAGCTCTGGAGGGTGCTGGTGTGGTCCTGGCCACGCTGGAAGATACTGGGGATGTGGAGGTGTAGACCTTGCAGGTAGAACGTTGACTGCATCTGAAAGGCAGTGGGATGGTGGCTCCTGGTGGCCCTGCCACCACTGATGGTCCCCACCTGGTGCAGAGCCCTCCCCCTGCACCTCACCTGGAAGTAAACCATCCAGTAAGGGATGAAGGTCAGCATCACCGGCAGGATCCGGGCCAGCACCTGGAAGTTGGCAAGGTCCTCCTCGGGTGAAGGAGCTCCAGGCTGGACCCCACTGGTGGGGACAGGGTCCCCAGGGTCCCACTGGCTCGTCCTGGGGAGAAGGACAGTGTGGGAAAGACCACGGTTGGAGGGCTCAGCACCCCACAGGCCATCCCCCGTTCTTCTCACCTGGTCCCAGTGCCCCCCAGCGAGGTGCAACCACAGCTCTGCAGGGCCAGTTTGATCATGGCAGAGACCTGGCTGCCCGTGGGGGGCTTGGTGACAAAGGTGGGGGTGGCCAGGAGGAAGATGAGGAGGGCCAAGACCAGACAGGCGACGGGGATGAGGTAACCGGCCAGAAAGCTGATGTTCTGCTGGACAAAGGCCACCACCAGCAGGGAGAAGACGGCCCCCAGGTTGATGCTCCAGTAGAACCAGTTGAAGAAGCGCCGCGTGGCGTCACCTCCCCGGTCCCTCACCTGCCAGCGTGGAGGGAAGTGACTTTCAGTCCTGGCACAGCCCTGGCTGCTGGGCTTCTGCTTCATCCCTTGTCCCACCACCCTCCCATGTCCCCCATGTCCCATCCCACCACTCTCATGCATCTCCTATGTCCCATCCCACCTCCCTCCTATGCCCCCGCATTCCACCCCACCAACTTTCTACATCCCCCATGTCCCATCCCACCACCTTCTCACATCCCCCATGTCCCATCCCACCTCCTTCCCACGCCCCATCCCACCCCTCACCTCCTGGCTTCCCTCCCTCCTTCCCCCAGCAAGGACATCCCAAGGGTCTCCAAGGGTTTGGAGGTCATTTATGGGGGTGCAACCACATCTCCTCCACCCCCACGGGAGGTACCCACAGCTCCATGGCCGGTTGGGAAGGGGCAGAGGGAGGAGGAGGATGCTCACCTGGTCAGCGCCGAAGGGGGTGAGGTTGGCTCTGACGGAGCTGACGCCCAACGCCAAGACCAGGAGGCCGGTGTAGATGGTGGGGGCACAGTACTGCTGGGGGGGCTGCCCCCTACACGTCCCACCGTGGTGCCAAGAGCAGTTTTGGATGGTGGCAGTTGGCAACTGCCCACACACCGAGAGGCGCCCGTCCAGAGTGGCAGTGATGGGCAGCAGGGACGCGGCCACCAGGTAGACCAAGAAGCTGGTGGCCACCGTAGCGTAGCGGCCCAGGTAGACATCAGCCAACCAGCCACCCACGGGCGAGAGGAGGTAGGAAGCCCCCAGGAAGAGCAAGCAGGCGCAGGACGCCTGGGTGCCCCCCCAGCCGAAGGTGCTGCTGGTGAGGTAGAGCACCAAGTTGGCCGTGATGCCGAAGAACGCCGCCCTCTCCAGCCCTTCCACCACCAGCACGGCCACGCACGCCACCCCACGTCCCTTGAGGGTTGTCCCCATCCCCAACAAGGGGCTCCTCTCCCCACCGTCCCCCATCCCGGCCGTGCCCCACGGCCCCGTGGTTCTTCTCCGGGTTGTCCCCCCTCCTCCTTCTCCGGGCGTGGACTGGGCTCCTCTCCCAGTTCCCCATTCCTACATCATATGACGGGCTCAGAAACGAAAATTCCCCATCAGCCAACGCGGCTTCTCCTTCCTGGGGGCTTTCCCCCCCTGTGTCCCTCCCCCCTGTCCTCGGTGTGGGGGCTTCACTCCCCCCCAACCCCCCCCAACAAAGCTCTGCTGGATCTCCAGCACCAAAGTCTGGGGTCTCCCCCTGCTCTGGGGGTGGAGAAGCCCCCCAGGGTGTCATGCACCCCCCCAGAACGCCCCCCCCCGGGGCCAGCAGCCGAGCTCAG